GGGGGGGTACTCCCATACATTACCTATACGGGTATGTGCCGCCCAACGGGGTCGTGATTTTGAAGCTCCTGATTTAGAACGGGGTATCCATTTCAGAGGCGTTTTCTAGAGCTGGGTATAATATTGCGAACGTACGAAAGCTCCAGTTTTGCAAGCAGCCATTTGACTTTTTTTATTCAAGGACAGATTGCTTTTAAAAGTACGGTTCAATGAGTTAACAAGCAAACTGTTGTATTCTTGTTGCACCCTAGAACTGAGTATAAAAGATTGGCCCATTTCTAGAACGGGGTATCAGTTTTAGGGCGAATTCTAGAACAGGGTATAAAAAATTGGCCCATTTCTAGAACGGGGTATCAATTTTAGGGGAATTTTTTTCAGAACGGGGTGCCAATTTGGAGTCCCAGGTGGCACATACCCACCCAAAAAATACCCAAGTGCCCCCCCTCCCCCGGGGAAGCGATCACAATCACGTTATTTGACGGGTCTTTTGCATCCCCCATCCTCGTTACCGGCGTCAACCAACGGACTTTCATTTTTGTGGTCAGTCATCGTTATACGCTAGCACCTTGTTTACATACCGGCTCCATTCGTCGTCAATGACCTCGCCTCGAGTTCGAATGATTTTCAGTTATTTCAAGCGGAATAAAGGAGGAAGATTGCTTGGATGCCTCCAAGAAGTCACAAAACTTGAAGCTCGTTTGAAATTCTTTATCCAGCTGGTAATGGCATGTCATTACGGATTCTCTGTGTCTTATTTGTTTCCTTGTTCCCTGCTAGCACAGGTCTCTCTTGTGAGAGACCTCTGCTAGCAGGGAAGTTTCCTTGCTGTTGTTACTACGGACGAATGCTAAATCGATGTAACTAAACGACTGGAACGAAAACGGGGGACGGGCAAATAAAAAATAGGAACAAAACCCAACTTGAACCTATCAGTAAAGTCATTGCCAATTTTCTGTTTTGTTCCAATTTTTCATTTTTATATTTCCCCTTTTCCGTTCCCCGTCCGTTTGTAAAATCCTCATTAATCTTTATCTTTGAAACTTTGCAGTCGAGCCCTCAAGTGATGAAAGCCATGAATTCGGACAATCACTTCTTTAATACATTTGCGTCATTAGCATTAGGACGTCCATCAGACCAAAAAAATTTCTTTGAATTTAGTATCATAGGAGAACTACCTTTCTCTAGAATAAAAACTTATTTATTTGCAAAGTCCCTTGGTCTTGTAGGAGTAAATAGTTGTTACTTTTTCCTAGGAATAAAAACATTCTCTTATAAATCAGAGCTTTCCTCGAGTTTTATTTCACCGCCATTAGAGCTTTTAAGATCGTAACATTAGATAGGTCATTCATGAGTTAAAACCCAAATCTCTTCTTATTACCTAATGGGGAAGAATTTCTTCAAAACCAGCTTCTCTTTCCCAAAACCACGGCATCCTTAAGTACAAAGGTACTCATTTTCTCTCTAAAAAGTGACCAATAGTAAAGATTCAACAAAATTTTTTAATTTCACTTTGTAAAATGCTGAAAAATAAGAAGCACTATGTAAAAGTACTGCTAAAGATGTTTCATTTGAATGGTCTCACCACCGGATTTTTTTTCCAGACTCAAAAGTTAGATGAGCCACGTTGCACACGCATACTCTGTATCTCACTCTGCGGGAGTGAAAGGGAGGGGTGTTGAGGCATAGGATGCTTACCATTTACATAAACCACCCGGGTGTTAATCTTGTGCATAAATATAAAACTACAAAATTTGACGTGGTAGGAGGACGATCCGCTACAAAGTATATCCAACTCGGCTAAAGACTAAAACGAGTAGAAAAATTGCATCATCTCTAATCACAGCCCATGTTTTCTGAGGCTTCTAAATGGAATGCCCCGAACCACTTGATTTTCCATCCGGAATTTCCAGCTTCCCCTTGTAACTGGTAAGAACCGCCAGGGCCGGGTCTCTCTC